GCCCTTTAAACAAGTCACCGTCCACATTTGGCGCAGGGTATTTGTGCAACTATGCAGGCCACTAAAACGAAAATAAGCAGACCCAAGACATGTGTGTGTGTGACAGCCTCAGACGGAGGCGTAACACCACGCCCACTACTGCATTCGAGCTCATTTTCCAGCGGTTTGGTCTGGAGACACCATGGGTTCATGACTAAGAAGGAAAGGGGCCGATCCTGTTCGCATTCTTCAACTGTGGCAGATCTGGGGTTATTTTTCGACCCGAGATATTTAAATCTGACCCACACACAAATGAATAGCAGCCTTGGGCTACAGCAGACACTGCGCCCACTTCATCTGCATGTATCTTGAGTATGACTGATCCTTGAGCCGTTAAGGAAGAGAGCGGAAGACAGTTTCGTGCATGACTCCATCATCATATAACCAACTCGGCGGTCGCTCCCATCAGTTTCAATGAACGTGCTGCCGGTAATGCAAATCGACACCACGACATTCGTCTTAGTACCCCTTAGCTGGCTGTCTGACGGTGCGTTATCCCCCCCCCCCCTTGTCTTTGCGTACGCCCAAGAAGACTACCACCGTCTGCGTTGTGGCCCCTTGACTCCAGAAACAAGTATCAAAATGTCTTCTGGAGACTCGGTAGTTCAGTGTGGACGATATCGTCCTTTGTGCCAACACTGATGTGCATTACGGAGGTCTGCAAGTACACCAACAAAATAACCCATATTTGGCCACCTGCCTTTTAGCTGACCCGCCATCCACACCTCCACCACCTTAGTCACTGTTTTGGGCGGGAACAGTCTCTCCAGCTCATCTAACCCGATGGAAGATTGCTACTGCAATTTCATCTGCTTTAAGAGTCCTTGATTCGTCTAAATCTGACTTCGAATGTCTACTGCCACAGTTCTTCCAATAGCTCTCACCATTAGAAACTAATAGTAGCAAGCCTTTAAAGGTCAAACTGAGTTGCAATTCGCTTATCTTGCCTGCTTGAAAGATGGCCTATTGGTACGCTGTTGTGGCTTGAAGCCACATGGTACAAAACTCACAGGTGATCGAACAGTTTCACTCGTCTCTAGGTACCATGGGCCAGGGAAATTGAAACTGGAATGGCCATTTTCCCCCTGCGTGTCACCGTTGGCCAGGAATAAAGCAGTTCAGAGTTGGAGCAACCGAGCACCTTGAAGATCGATTTGGTATTTAGATTAAAGCTCAATCATTTGCACCGCCGGTTCTCGCCGAAATTAAGAATATCTCAAGCTGCACCGGCGCGATGTTCCTTGAAGGACGAGAAGGGAGTTGTGTCTTTATCCTTTGCGATTCAGGACAGCTGTTCTCGAGGTCCTGCCTACTCCTTTTTCCTGAAACTCGCATATTTAAACTTATGTGCAACATTTTAAATTAGCGATGACGTATGAGTCATGCCACACTTCCATGCAGCCAAAGTCATCCCATCAATTTATCTGTTGCAATGGCAGCTGCGATCCTAAGCCCCATTTTTGCAGCTACTTTGAAGGTTACTTTGATTTTTACGAATACTGGCGTCAGGGCTATCTAAAATGTTAGTAAGTGCAACACCACTGTTCATCTTCCTCACCTGTGCCAGTTCCATGAACAACCGCTCCTACTGCTGTCGACTTTGTCGAAAGCATTCAGATCCGCATTCGCCTGACTGGTTAATTACCTGACTACCCTGGCTTCCATTAAATTGAAACTGCTGAAAATTAACTGCCTACTGCCTAATTATGTTGCCCTCATTAGGCTCGCTTATTGAGGCGAGCTTTCCAAAATAATGAAACCAGTGGAGTCTCATAATAAGGTCGGATTTCCGAAAGGAAAATTATGAATAGTCACTGCTGCCACTTCTACTATCACGAATACTACTACTACTACTACTACTACTACTACTACTACTACTACTACTAATACTACTACTACAGCCATTATTATTATTATTATTATTACAAACACTACTACGATCGCAAACAATACCGTGACTATTACCAATAAAGCCAACTGCGCTGCTTCAATCAGAAAAAATGCGCCGATTGGCCATCGTACTCCTATATTGTCCCTCTAGAGCCGGAGTAAGTTAAATGGCTATGGACCAAATAGGTGTGCTCTCGATCACCCATAACACCTTTGGGTGGCCCCATCTTCCTCCCTGCTATGTGCACCTGTGCTGGTCTGGCGTCATGCTCAGCCGAAAATATTTGTTTAGGAAAGCCTTTATGTTGGGCAGCACCAACTAACTTGCAGTATGACCAATTCGGACTCGCAGGTTCTATCGGCAGTAAAAAATGCAGTTATAAGGACTCGTGTTAATCTCGTCAAAACCCAGCACAACCGGTTTTGATCACTGTGCATTACTCTGTTATAAGCCTCTATATACCAGAAAATTCCGAGAAGCAGAGGCAAAAATTACAGTTACCCAATGTCGCTTCGTCCCCTATTAGTTGGTTAACATTCCAAATACTACGCAGAAGCAGTCTTGATGCAGACTACGAGGAAAAGAGCCCGAAACATAAGTAATGCACTCGCAAACACGGCATTAATGCTGCCAAAACTTTCATCTCCTTTACAAACGGAAAGCAGAACTATCTAGTCTCAGTGATTCTCATATATTCAACATGCATAGGTATATACATGGGGTCAAACCAACTTCTGGCCCGGATTGTCCCCGTTAAAAGAAGAAAAAATGTCTTTGCTTTTGCGCATAAATCAACTATCTGACGACTCATCCCATTTACCAATTATACACTCGATTGAAAAGGCCGATGGACGAGATACCGGGGGTTGGAGGGAATCATTGAGTTCCGGGGGGTCTCTCTCGTGCAACCGATGACGGTGTAAGTTATTTGGAGGGGTTATTACCAAGTCCAAGGGCAAAACATCCTCATTAGGAGACGTTGATGGCTCCAGCGGCTCCTGCTCTTCCGTTGGACCGGAAACCATTATTTCTTTAACTGGATTCTCAGTGGGGAGTACGGTTCGGTGGAGGGATTTACAGGAGCTGACCTGAACGCGCTTATAGCGTTTACGCCGCCGTAGAAAACTCCCATTTGTGAACATGCCCTTGGAATTAGGATCTAAAGTCCAGTAGTTTCCCTTTCCGGTGCTTCCTGTTTCACGAGGAACCTTAACGAAGCAATCATTGAGGGAGAGGTTGTGTCGAATGGAGTTTTGCCATGAGGGGAAGCGCTCACGATAGTAGGGAAAGCGGGAGGAGATGAAATCGCAGATCCCAGACAGTGTTAGCCGGCTGTCGGGGGCATTGAGTATGGCCATAGTGATTAGTGCAATGTAAGAGTACGGTGGCTTGACGGAATGCACAAAGAGCTCTTTTTGTCCTGCATGATGATCAGCTGATTTCTCAGTGGGATCGCAGGTTTCTTGGAAAGCCTCCTTAAGTCCAAGTTGTTCGGGAGGGTTATGGGTGGAATCACTGAGGTTATACCCTCTCCGACATGGGGTTGGTGGGGTGTTTTCTGTCGAATTGGACCCACCGGTACTGAGAGCATCCAGAGCAACTTGGTAGAATAGATTGTCTTGCAGGAAACTCTGACTGGTCGGATCTAACGCCGGTACATGACCTCTAAGCACGTCCTGTGTTACAGCGCTAAAAATTTGCATCTGCAGGCGAAACAAATCATCGCCGGCTTTCTGCCACAACGCTTCCGGTGTTTGCATTTGCGAATGTGTGAACAATGACAGTCCTTGCATCGAGTCTGATGCCAACTGGTGCGACTTCTCTCTGCCACGCGCTAGTAGGTCACCCTGCAATTATTGGTCAGCTCACACGTCCGCGACACTGCTTGTCTTTGGATTGGGTAAAACTGGCCAATAAAGTTGCAGATAGCGCCGACTCCTCGAGGGTGCGAGCTGTGGCGACCACAGCGCGACCGCCAAGTCACCCAATGAACACTTCGCGCGAACAACTGAGGCACCCGATTTTCAGGCGGCGAATGCGAAGACAGGCCAAATTTACAGGTTGTCTAAGTTGCACTGAGGAGCTTGTGAGATTACCAATGTACAAGATAAAGCTGTCTAGGGGGCTGGTTATAATACATCTTCTACAGGTGGTGACACAAAGTAGTCTGCGTTCGAGATCCACGGACACTGAACATGTGTATTTTGTTACCACAATGTGTTCTACCGATATCCCCATAGCAATTTAAATATGGTGTGAGTAATACCAACAGCGGTCTATACGGAATCAGCTAGCCCCTATCTCCGCTTTAAGTATGCTATGATAAAACAAATCCCCTCTACAATAGGCGAACGGACAGAGAAGCTCAGGACACCAGTAAATCATGCGAGGACTAGATCGCAGTTGGTAGCCAGCCCCCTTTTTACAGGTGGCTGGGGGCTTTGCTTACAGGGGCTATTTAGTGGGGCTCCATAATAACATCTGACACATTTGGCTTCCGTTTTATGTTTGAGGTTAGGATTAGGGTACTGGCTAATGGTTTCCGATATTCGGGTTAGGGTTATACCCTTAGGCTTAGGTTTTCGGGTTACGGTTAGGATTTGAGCGTACATTTAGGTTTCAGTATTACGGTTAGGTTTTCCAGTTACGGCTTTGTCTAAGGGCTACGGTTACGTTTAAGATTTCGTTTATGGTTAGGGTTGCCGTAAGGGTTACCGCTTAACGTTCAAGGTTGAGGTTAGGGTTAAGGTTAGGATTAGGGTTAGGATCACCGTCTGCTTCCCCATTCCTGGCTACTAACTGCGATTTAGCCCATGCGGGTCGGCGACTTATGCGGTCCTACGGTTTCAGATAATTTGACAAGTCTCAGTTGTAAAGCATAGAACTTCCAACTTTCCCTCCCGTTTCTTTTATATTGGCCCTTTATCCTTTTCTGTCGACCGTTATCAATCTTTCAATCCTCTTAATTTTTCTCCCGTTCCCTTTTTCTCTCCCCTACTCGTTCTCTTTATCTCCTCCTCCATTGCTTCGCTTAATTTCATCGCCTATTCTCAGTCTCCCTTCCTTTCTTCTTCTTCTTCTTCTTCTTCTTCTTCTTCTTCTTCTTCTTCTTCTTCTTCTTCTTCTTCTTCCCCCCTTCTCTTAATCACCTCGGTATGATGGAATTCATATGGTTACTTCGATTCCCGCCTTTCGTATTACTACTTCGAGTATTTGGTCACGCCTCAAAGTTTCTTCCTTTTCTATCTACTTTTTTGTTCATCCTTTTTTTCCTTCGCAGAAACCCTTTCGCATGTAACCTGGCTCTCGTGTTTCCGAATGCTTCTGTTGACCTTACATCTATTTTCCTTCTCGTTCACAGATAAAATGAGTCTGTTTCTGACATTTTTGCAGATTTCAGTACAAACCAATACGATATTCCATCTGGTCCATTTGACTAGAGCTGCCGCTCGTACATATCGGACCCTAGATTGTGGGTTTAATTCGATTTATCCTCGCCTCATGCCTAATTATAGGAAAAACTGTTTAATGCGCTTGCCGTCCAGGGCAGTGACAAGGATGCACTGGATAAACGAAATATCGAAGTGGAAGTCGTGTTCATTTGATCAAGCCCTGCAGAGCAAGTACTGTTACATCCTACGCGCTTAGATGACATACCCAGTAACCGATAGATCCTTTATTACAACTTGATATGCTTCTCCTGGTGATCAGAGTGTATTTGGCTGATGATAACAGATAAACTAGGAATTGACATTCTAGTCTTGCCCCCTGCCACTCTTGATAACATGCCTTGATTACTGATCGCTTGCTACTCCCTACACCCTGCGAGGTCTTTAAGTCCTGGGCACCAGAAAAAAAAACGAACTGATCAGCTCCGTTTGGCAAGCAGGAGATATCGGCGGACGCCGCTCTCGTGGGCTTAGACAAATTTGCATTGTAACGAGTAGGCATGAACAAACGGTAGAATATGTGAATGAGTGGCCGCAGAAGAGGTACATTCTAACTTTATGGGTTTTGAATGAATTGAGTGAAGAGGTGCTCGACGGGGCTTAGATCTCCGAAGTTGGTAGGAATAAGACACTAAGTGGACGGCAGATGTTGGACTGGATGTATAAACTCGGGAGTTAATAGCAAACGCGACATGAGTATGCTGACTGCAATATATCAGTAGGTGTTTCCTCATACGCAGTCACGCCCTCATTGGCTGTCGGTGGG